TTAAAAACCACACTTTAAAATTGTTTATAGTGCTATTTTCATGTTGGTGACTGAGGAAAGAAGATCACAAGTTCAGTGCCAGCCTAGGTAAGCTATTTAGGTAGCTTCAGGTCAGCCTGTAACAGAGTTCTGATATATAGTAACAGAAAGCTAGTAGAATCTTACTGTAGGTATATCTGGGTTTTAGACTGGGTTTGAAATGTGCCACTATCTCATTAAGTTCCCAAAGTCTCTTACTATGCAGGCTTCTACAGATGGCATCTTTCTTCACTGAACACATTAGAGTTTCTGGCTTCTGTATGCCAAGACAACACCTTGCATGTTACAATGCAATTATATAAAAAGATATCTATAAGCTGTTGGAAGCAAGTTGTAGACACTGTTACATTCACACACAGAGAGGACTGTGGGTAATTCATGTACAAAGATGTAAATACTAGAAAGTAATAAGTTTAGATTGTTGCCTTAGGGTCTGTCTATGACCCTAAGGTGACATCAGAAATTTCTCATTTCATTAAAAAAAAACAATGGGCAGCTAAAGAGACAATCTAGTGGTTGAGAACATGGAGTGCTCTTGCAGAAGATGTAAGTTTTTAGTTTCTGGCACTCTCATTAGGGCATGTACAATACCTATAACTTAAGATCCAGGGGGTATCAGATACTTCTGATCTTAATGGCCATCTGTGCACACTCATGCACACACACACACACACACACGTGCACGTGCACATGTGTACACACACAGAAAGAGAGGAGGGAGAGAGGGAAGGAGGGAAAAGGGAGAAAGGGAGGGAAGGAAGAAAGGAGAGAAGAATAATTAAAATGGAATTTTAAACAATATAGAGAAAATTGTAACGTGTTGGTATAATGATATATGTTTGAGTGATCTTAAAATATTGAAGTGCATGTATAGTCGAGAAGATAGTTCTGTACAAGCTATCTCTGTACAAGCTCTGTAAAAGTGCTCATTGTACAAGCATATAGACCTGAATTCAATGTGCATCACTCAGGTAAAAGGTAAACATGGTGGCACATACTTGTAATCCCAGCCTGGGAAGAATGAAAAAAGCAGATCTCCAGTGCTTCCATGCAAGTCACCCATACCTACCAGGTAAACTCCAGTCTACTAGAGATCCTGGCACTTCCAAAAAGTTAACAGTACCTGAAGAACAAACCTAAAGGCTGACCTATGCACCTCCCCACATTTGTGAGCTTGCATATAAACACGTACACATAAAGTTTGACCATATTGGTTCTCCTACTATAAGTGGTTCCTCTTCTTATGTCCCACATCTTTGATTTGAGCTAATCTTCATTGATTCATTTCTATGCAGAGTCCCATGACACTGATGTATAGTGACTTCCAACACTAAGTTAGAAAGAATCACCATTTTTTGACTCATTCACTTCTATCATCCAGTCTCATAGACTTTTCCTGTGACGTGTTCTTTGAGAACCCACTTAACATACTTGGAGGAATTTGCACCATATAAAGAAGCCATGTGTAAACACTCAAGTGAACAGCCTTGGCCCAGATGTCAAATTGCAAGTAGACTTTATCTTTACAGGGTCATCTTTAGACTCCCCAGTCATGCTTTGGTCTTCCCAGCAGAGATACCAGACATTGTAGAAAAAAATATTTGTCCTCTTTAATCCCTTTCTTAAATACCAATCCACAAAAATCTGTGAGCATAATGAATTGTCATGGCGGGGTATTGAATCTGAAATGTTCCCTCAAATGAAGATTTAAAGACTCAACCCTCACTATAGCAGTATGTAGAGGTGGGAGCCTTGAGAGGTGATTGGGTCATGAGAATTTTATCGGTGGATGAATTCACCTGAATGGGTTAAGATCCAGTCTGAGAAAGCAGGTCACAGAGGGTCACATATCTTCAAAGGGTATATTGTGTTACATGGTGTTTTCTTTCTTCTCTCCTTTCCTCACCACCTCCCCTCTCCTCCCCTCTCCATCTTCTCTCCCACCAGACTTCCACAGACACCACTGAGGTGAGTAACCTCTTCTACCACATGTCCCTGCTGCCAAGATGTTCTGTCTACATTGAGGCCTAAGTGATGAAGCCAGCTGACCTTAGACAGAAATGTCTAAAACTACACTTTCCTTTTAAGTTCTTGGAATGTTTCCCAAGTGTTTGTTAAAATGGCATTGTGTATGGTTCTAAGTTCAATACTTCTTTCATTTTGTTTTAGATTTTACAGAGCACTAGTATTAAAACTTGAGGGCTTCAAGTTTTGGGTTGAAATAGTTAAGTCTGTAAAACCCTCAGATAACTCAAAATGATTCTGATAAATCAATAAAAAACAGTAAAACTTTGGAAACCTCATAAGTTACCACTTTAAAATAGTTTCAAGCCATGTCTTTATGCATTTCAACTACACACACATACTCAAAACACATTTTTCTTCAAGTAAGATATCAGAAGTTACTTTCAAATTAGTTCATGAAGTGTATTTCCCTGAAGATTCAATTCTGTGTTAAACTGTTACTTGCCTATTTAAATATTTTATATTTAAAGCAGCTGTAACAATTCTACTTACTATGTAGACATTGAAAAAAATCAATGAATAACACTAAAATATATATGATCTATAATTAAAGCCAGTTGTTAACTTATCAACATGCAAAAATTTAAATTAAATATTACCATTTAAATGAAAAATATATTAAAATGGCATGTTGCACATAAAAAATAAGATGTTATATACAAAACTCAAATATTCTTGTGCTCAGCAAGTAAATGTGGACATCATTTGCTTCTCCACATTTTGTTTGGATTTCATTTCAAGGTTGAATTGCAGTATTTAAATGTTATGAATAATGTAAAATCTTCCTTGGAACCTATGTCGGGGAAGTGAAAATATTGTGATTTGGTGTTTCTATTGCAAATAACATGTCAACAAACTTAATAAGATTTTAATAAAGAAACTGGAAAACTCTTTATATCTTATATAATTTTATAATGTACTAAAGTCATATTACAATAAAGTACTTAGATATGATTCACAACTACTTTCTATGAACACATAACTTCTTCCACAAGACTGTTTGATGTAAAAATTAATCCCAGATTTTCAGAGATGTGATTGAAAAGAATACAGAGGTTGACAGGAAGGAATTGAAAACGAAATATATGGATAAGTTGTTAAAGGAAAAGGTTGTAAAGGCTCAGGGCTCATGGCCCAGAAAATTACATGTCTAGATTCTATGTGAGATGAAAAACTAAAACAAAACCCAAACTCTGCTCTTTTTCCTTACTGGTGAAAAGTGATAAAAAGGAAACACTACTTAAAATGGTCAAAATGAAGTCATTATTTAAAACCTAAGGAAGTACACTACTCATCTAAGGAAGGATGTTAGTTGAAATTATTAATGGGACAATTTATAAGAACAGAAAATATAAATGTTTTTCAGTGGCCAGCACAACTTCAGACACACACACACATACACACATGCATGCATATACATATGTACACACACACACACACGCAAAATGTATCTGTAATAAATTGACTTTCTGCATTGACTTAATTAAATGAGACAAGAATAAAGAATCAAGAACCATCATGAGCTAATATTCACAAAGCAATATCAAGATTAACAGTAAATGTCTGAGGGGATTCCTTACGTTTCACCTGTGTGGCTACACAGATTACAATTTTGGTTGATGATAATTCCTACATTTATGGTAATAAAGAGTAGCTTTCAGCATTGAGTTCATGGTGAACTTACTCGTACAACTAATCTGCACAGCCTCAGAAGACAGTTTGTCATCACTAGATACAGTCAACTATCCAGTTAGAGCAAACAAAGCTGCCTTAGTGTGTTCGGCCAGTTATCTACAGCTGTTGGGGGTGCCAAGTGTGTGGTACCTTCAGACACGGCCAGATCTGACGATACGTACTGTGTCCTGCTCTACCTCAGACAGCATGTCCCAAAAGTCTTGTATTTGCTGGTGCCAAAGAAATTACAAAAATGTCAAAGAGCTATTTTTCTGTCACAATAATGGGTGCTTAAATTACTTAAGTGGCAACACCAGTCGAAAGACATAATCCATACATTAGGAGCTGGACAGACGCTTACAGCATTTCCTGCTGTCCTGGCTAAAAGACCAACCAGGGGGACTGAGATTTAAAAGGACTTGCTTTTCAAAGCCGAGGAGAGAAACAAAGGAGGCTGTTTTTGGCTCAAGGCCCACATCATGACAAATAACTACCATTAACTGGTGAAACAGAGCTAAATTCATTCACACGCTCCAAAACTCAGAAGTCAACAAGAGCCTCACTTCTTCAATTTCCAGATGAATGACAGCTTCACACTTCCGAAAGGATCCTAGAAGGATAAAAAGAGCACACCCAAAGAGTTGAAATCGAATTTGAAGTCACCAGAAGTTTGTTTTCCGACTTTGAATTTCCCTCCACAATGAAACAAACAAACAAACAAAAAAATCAGCACAGTGGTTAAGAAGGCACCCAGCACACCAAAAATCTGCAACTTGATACCCAGTATCATCGCTAATAAATAGACACAAAATCAGTAGAGTCAAGTAACATAAGTGTCTAGGTAACATTAAATATTTGTAACTTCTGCTTGGGGTAATAATGATTAGATTTTACAAAAAAAATTATGTGAATTATATTTTAATAAGTACTATGCACATTTTGGTAGTTTTCTGTTTTGCATTCTTTAAATAACAAAGAAAAATCAAAATAATTATGCTCATTAATGTTATAAACAAATTCTTAAATGTAAATGAAGATCCTGAGAGAGTTAAGGTGTTGATATCATTATACATGAAACTAAATGATAATAAGTGAGCCAATGTCTAAATTACATGTTATTCAAAACTCAAACATAAGCGGTGGTATCGGGGTATAATTTTAGTGAAGTATGTGAGTCTTTTCAAACCCAAAGGTTATCAGTCTTCAGTATGTCTCAGAATCACATAGAGGGTTGCTAAAATACGAGTTAATGAGCCTTAGACATGGGCTTTGATTTAGCTGTTCTGATATATGACACCAGAGTGTCAAGTTTTTCACAGGTATGGTATGTTGGGGAAGTCCTGTTATTTGCCTGTGCATTTGTCAATAAAGTACTGTCTGGCCAATAGAAAACCTAGATAGGAGGGACTAGGAGTCGAGGAGGATTCTGGGAAGGGGAAACACAAGAGAGTCAACATGTGACGCCATGGGGGTAGGACGCCGGGAACTATTCTCCGGTAAGAAACATACTTAGATTAACAATTATGGGGTAATTACTTAAGGCAGAGCTAGCCAGTAAGAGACAAACAAGGCCAACAGCTTCATAATTAATATAGCCTCCTGTGTGTTTATTTGGGACTGATGCCGACCTGGAACCAGGCGGGCGGAAAGGCATTCTCTCAAAGAAAAAGCTTCTCTTAACAGAATGGTGTCAGGAGTGGGATCATGAATTTCCACGCAAAATAACAAAAGCTTTAAAGGAATTTTAGAAACAGAAGAACAGAGAGAAGCACAGATTATTGGTAGCAGCATTTTTCTCAGGTGTGCTCTGTTTTGCTATCGACAAGCCGAGATTCACGTGGCTCGTTTACTGGAGTCTTCCTGACTCGGCATAAAAAGAAAAAGAAAAAGAAAAAACCAACAAGGTCCTTTTAAGAGACTCTGCTAACGATTGAAAGGTGTGTACGTACAGCTGGAAGTGGCAGCTTTTGCTGGATGTCAGCATGGACTGAGGCGGTAAGCTGGAATCATGCTTACGGCTGCCATCTTGAAACGGCAGTTTAAAACAGCCACGGTTTTACAGATAAGACACGTGGCCAGAAAAACATAAAGATTTACAGTAAAGTCAGACTTGGATAAAGAAAAACTTCTAAAGGTTTACAGTGTGTTTAAAAATATATGTGAGAGTGAGAGAGAAACTGAAACGACAAAGTGGTAAATAAATACAAAAGCCGGCGTTGTGGTGGCACACGCCGGTAGGATTGCTCCAGAGGCAGAGGCAGGCAGGTTTCCAAAGAGAAACCCTGTCTCAGAGAAAAATAAATAAAAGTGAAAGAAATAAAGTAATAATAGATAAATAAATAAGCCACGTAAAGATGGAAAATACACAGAGAGTCTGGATACTGTATGTTATTGTGTTTTTCAGTTTTTTGCTTGCTCAGGAAGGAACTACTACTAAAGTACACTTGATTATAAATGCTGCTGAATTAATTCAACTTATATCTTTTGAAAATGCATTGACTTCAAAATTTAAGTATAAGGATATGTTACTTGGAAAAGGAGATTTTACTTATGTTTCCACAGAAAATGAAACGCTGACGATTCCTTCCAAGCTTCTGTGGTTTGACGAACCAAGACCCCCGGAAGCAGTGGACAAGGTGTTCTAACAATTGAGACAGCTAAGATGATGCAGCTTTACAGACCCTAAAAATAAGGACTTATACAGGTTTCTGAGTTTTGTCATGATCCCCATGGTATGAACAGCGCCCCCTTCCAGCAGGAAGCAGTTTGGAATGAGCGACGTCCCAATTCCCATCTTGTTTATAAATCTTTGTTTTCATTTAAATGGGATTGTTTATAATTGGCTAATGATCACAGCCGATCTCTTGTTAATGGTAAAAAGGGGAATTATGTTATGGGTATTGTTTTCCTTTATTGATATGAATTCAAGGTCAATTTTGTGATATGTATATTTCTCCTCTTGATTAAGTATTGTGCTTATACTGATCTTTTAAAACGTAATGCATAATTGAATAAGACTATAGATAGTTACTTATAATAGTCAGAATTTATAGTTAGGTTAGTTAGGTTTCTAGATATACAGAAATATATTTGAGATGGACAGTCTTCAAACCTCTCAAAGACCTTCAGAACATGGCATTTAAAATGGTTTAGGGTTTGTCTTGACAATGAGAAATGTCTGCTCCTGGCAGCACCAATTACGTCTGAGAGGAAGATGGGCATCGAAGAAACTCGTTATAAAGTTTGCTTTCAACATGGCAAGATTAGCCATTTGGGCAAGAAACTGCTCTTGCCTAGATTGTTTGACTGTTGTTGTATCATCTGGACATGCAGGGCCCACAGGAAAGTGACTGCTGAACTCAGTCTTACAGGGTTACTGCTTGATGAAGAGTCTACGAGACTTTCTGCAGGACAAAGAAAAATGACTGACAGACTGCCAACGCAGATGGACAGTTTGAAATTTCCTGCTTTGCTGAGAAGTGTTCCAGACACATTGTGGCCTATGGGCTGAAGATGGATGCCCCAACGTTACAGAGGAACTTCGGGTGACTGTCCAGGCAGTAAGATGTCTCTGTCAATCCTAGTGTTTATATATTATCCTTCTGTGGTCTTTGATGGAGTTGAAGACAGATAGTTATAATTATAGTTTTCCTTAGTTATGATAAAAGATAAGCTACATATAGGACTTTGGACTCACAAGGATGGGATGGATGATATTTTCTTTAAATCTTGCTAAAATATTGTAACTATGTTCTTACTTGATAACTGTTCTGTCATATACAATTTGACTATGTTAAAATTAAGACCTTTCTTTTGTTTAAACAGAAAAGAGGAGATGTTGGGGAAGTCCTGTTATTTGCCTGTGCATTTGTCAATAAAGTACTGTCTGGCCAATAGAAAACCTAGATAGGAGGGACTAGGAGTCGAGGAGGATTATGGGGTAATTACTTAAGGCAGAGCTAGCCAGTAAGAGACAAACAAGGCCAACAGCTTCATAATTAATATAGCCTCCTGTGTGTTTATTTGGGCCTCATGCGGATCTAGAACCAGGCTGGCGCGGCAGAGCCCAAGCGACTGGCGGGGGATAAACCAAAGCAGCTAGCAAAAGAAAAAGCTTCTCTTAACAATGGTATGTTTATGCTGCTGGTCCCCAGGAAGAAATTTTGAGAACTGTTGATTTGAGGACCTGAGAAGTAGCATGTTATCTGTTGTTATTCCAGAATCTCCTGTCTACAATTTGAGTAAAATATTCTATTTCCTGGGCAGCCTGATAAAGTTGATTATCTACTTGTGCGAGATAGAAAAGATGACTATGGCTAAAGAATACTTGACTAAGAAATTGCTGTTTCTGTGAGTTTCTTCACCATGGTCATGACCCCTTTGATCATATTATGGCTACTCACTCTCTTCAACTGGACTCTGGGAGCTCAGTCCATTGCTTGGCTGTGGGTCACTGCCTCTGCTTCCATCAGTTACTGGATGAATGTTCTATGATGACAATTAGGGTAGTCACTAATCTGATTAAAGGGGAAGGCCCATTCAGACACCCTCTCCACTATTGCATAGAGTCTGAGTCTGAGTTGAGGTCATCCTTATAGATTCCTGGGAATTTCCCTAGTGTCAGGTTTCTCACTAATCCCTTAATGGCTATCAAGATATCTCTTTTCTTGCTCTCTCTCTCTCTCTCTCTCTCTCTCTCTCTCTCTCTATCTCTCTCTCCTTCCCCCACTTCATGTTGTACTCTTCTCTCTTCTTCTCCCCTCCCACCTCTTCGCCATGCTCCCATTTTACTCAGATCTTGTCTGTTTCCCCTTCCCTGGGGGGGACTCATGTATGTCTCTCTTTGGATCTTCCTTGTTACATAGCTTCTCTTGGATCCCAAGAAACAGCTGACCCAAGCTATTGGGAGCTCAATGACTCCATACTGACATCTGGGGAACCTGCATAGGACTGAATTAGGCCCTCTTAATGTGAGTGACAGTAGTAGGCTTGGGCAGTTTGTGGTGACACTGGCTGTGGGACCAGGATTTCCCCCTACTACATGAACTGGCATTTTGGAACTCATTCCCTTTGGAGGGACACATTGCTCAACCTAGATACGGGGGAGGGGGAGGGCCTCAAGGTGATGTGACAGATGTTGTTGACTCCCCATGAAAGGCCTCACACTCTCTGAGGAGAAGATAGGGTAGAGGGATGGTGAGGGGAGAGGGGGAAGGGAGAAGAAATTGGGATTGGTGTGTAGAATTTTAAAAAAAAAGATTGTTTTAAAAATAAAAAGAAAGAAATTGCAAGTATCCATATAAAGAATTAACACTTCTTCACAGTTCAGATATTAGGAACTTGAAGTGTTTATTTAAACTTCACTTAGGTTATGATTTATCTTCAGTTCTAGCTCTAGCGAATTTTATTTCTAAAGGCTAGAGGGATATTCTGGAGGACTTTCTGTATCTACCCATTCAGGGGTGGTTTTGCAGAAAATTGATATGTCCTATCATACTTTATGTACACTCATCATGGAAATGTACAGGCTATGAATACCAGACTCATTTTAATGGGTTTGGAACTTGATTATTTCCCTTTGTTTCTAGGGGACAGAACATGGCTTTGCCTACTGAATGTTGTGTAACCACAAGTCTTTATGTGGGAAAAGTGCTCTGTTTCCTATGATTCATCATTGATTTTAGTCTATTACTGCATCCCTACAGCAAACTAGTCTTAAACTTACTGGATACTGAACCTGATAACCTTTTAAAACTGAGTAAACTCATAGAACATAAACTTTTGTCATCATCATGTTTTGTTAATAAGTTAAGGAATGTCAAAACTACATCCTTTTGGAAATTCAAGAGGATAGATCTGAGTGACTAGATAAGGGCAGCCAATATGATTCATCAAGGAAAGATGCCTGCCTACAGACCTGAGTTCAATCCAGGGCACCTGCATGGCATAAGGAGAGAAACAACAAACTCTGCAAGTTTTCCTCTGCCTTTTACACATGTTGCACACACACACACCACCACCACCACCACCACCACAAAATAATAATAAAATTTTCATAAAGTTATATTAAAAATTCGGTAACTTTTTATTCAGATTACAATTTGTCCAGCAAGATATTTTTTTCCTACTGGATACAAACTGTCAGGTTAAAGTGTGCACAGCCTCTAGGTTCTCTCATGCACTTAATTTACATTTCTTTCCATGAAAATATTCGGTAAAAAAATAATGATTTTGTTCCATGATAATACACAAATGTTCTATTGATTCAATAAGGGAATAGAAAAGTTTGGTGGAGAGAAAGTTCATTCACTAAACTGTT